TGCAGTTGTAGTACCTGTAGTACTTGTTGTACTTGTAGTACCTGTAGTACTTGTAGTACTTGTAGTACTTGTAGTACCTGTAGTACTTGTAGTACTTGTAGTACCTGTAGTACTTGTAGTACTTGTAGTACCCACAGCTTGCACAGCTTGCTACAATAGTGAACCCAGCAAACAAACCTACTAAAGTGAAATGGAGCCTCTCCTGGTCCAGGGCCTTGGAAAATTGTGAAAAAGCTGTTCTTTAATAAGGGTTTAACAAGGGATTTGCTCCTTTGGGAAAGGCTTGGAGTTCGAATTTGGCAATTGCTTTTGGAAAAGGCTTGCTTCTCTTTTGGGCTTCCAGGAGCTGCTCTGGCACAGCTTGCTACAATAGTGAACCCAGCAAACAAACCTACTAAAGTGAAATGGAGCCTCTCCTGGTCCAGGGCCTTGGAAAATTGTGGAAAGCTGTTCTTTAATAAGGGTTTAATAAGGGATTGGCCCCTTTGGGAAAGGCTTGGGGTTTGAATTTGGCAATTGCTTTTGGAAAAGGCTTGCTTCTCTTGTTGGGCTTCCAGGAGCTGCTCTGGCACAGCTTGCTACAATAGTGAACACAGCAAACAAACCTTCTAAAGTGAAATGGAGCCTCTCCTGGTCCAGGGCCTTGGAAAATTGTGGAAAAGCTGTTCTTTAATAAGGGTTTAATAAGGGATTTGCTCCTTTGGGAAAGGCTTGGAGTTTGAATTTGGCAATTGCTTTTGGAAAAGGCTTGCTTCTCTTTTGGGCTTCCAGGAGCTGCTCTGGCACAGCTTGCTACAATAGTGAACCCAGCAAACAAACCTTCTAAAGTGAAATGGAGCCTCTCCTGGTCCAGGGCCTTGGAAAATTGTGGAAAAGCTGTTCTTTAATAAGGGTTTAATAAGGGATTTGCTCCTTTGGGAAAGGCTTGGAGTTCGAATTTGGCAATTGCTTTTGGAAAAAACGTCTTCCTCTTCGCAATTACAGGTTGTTTTTTCCAAAAAAAATCTACCATTTTTTTTTCCACAAAAGTGAGCCCTCCAAACAATACATGGGTTTCAGAATAATTTGGAGAAAATTTGCCACAATAGCAAACCTAGCTACTAATCAGGAGCCAACATTAAGATACCTACGCAGCTTGGGACTAGCATTTCAGAAGGGCTGCCCCTGGCCAATGTGTCCCCGACGAACCCCCAGCAGACATTATATAAACGATTAAACGACACCCTAAAGAAACCTTAAAAAAACCCTAAAAAAACACCAAAGAAAACCTAAATGAAACCTTAAAATAACACCGAAAGAAAACCGTAAAGGAACCCGAAATGAAACCCTAAATAAAACTTTAAAAAACCCTACAGAAACCCTAAATAGAACTTTAAAACCTAAAGAAACCTTAGATGTCTGAAACCTTCAAAAAAAAATAGATTAAATCTTAAAGAAACCTTAAAGAGACCTCAAAAGACATTCCAGAGAAACCAAAAACGACACCCTAAAGAAACCCTAAATGAAACCCTAAAGAAACCCTGAATCAAACGCTAAAGAAACCCTAAATAAAACTTTCATAATGAAACCCTAAACCCTACAAGAAACCCTAAAGAATCTTTGAAACCACGGAAAGACCATTGAAGACGATCAAAAAAACGATGAAAACCATCCAGACATCGTTGAAAACCCATGGGAAAATGGGCGAAACTAAAATGTTGCAATTATCGGGCAAATTTACGATTTATTTACCCAAGTTTGCGACTTCAGTTCCGAAATGCTGCAAATAGCATGCAGAATGAGAGATGTTAGTTCAAAAACGCAGCAAATAGCACGCAAATCAGAGAGATTTTGGTTCCAAAATGCAGCAAATAGCACGCAAATCAGAGATTTTAGCCCCAAAATGTAGCAAATAGCAAGGAAAACTGCCCCAGACTGAAAACAAAATAAAAAAATCATCGCCCCTTAAATTCTATGTATGTAGTTCTGCAAGGAATTGAGTCTCTTACATGTATAAGGGTATATATTACATACATCATTCCCTTTGGAGGGAGGCAACCCTGGATGTCTGAAGCTCCTGAACTGGAAAATAAAGAAAAAAAACGGGTCCCCCGAAATGATCAATTTATTTTGATTTTGTATTGAAAAAAATAGTTTTTCAAACTCACCTAAGGGTACGTACCCCCATGACTGGTCCCGTAGAAAAATGATAAATTCTATTTGGCAATGAAAACCAATGCAATTAGGTGGTGTTCCTCGGATGAATCTTCCCTTGGGACTTCTATTCTATGTATGAAGTTCTGCAAAGAAGTGAGTGTCTTACATGTCTTAGGGTGTCTATGAGAACGGGGGGATGCATAAAAGCAAAATTCTATACAGAAATGTTGGGAGTGTTCGCATAAAAAATGGTATAAAAAACTGTTAGGAGTGTTCCCATGAAAGTTGGTTGGGTCAGCAAATACGATACATCAATGATTCAATGTTTGTGTTTTTTTTTGTTCTGGGGTTGGCGGCAGGGACGGGAACCCTTAAGGACATGAGGTGTAAATTTGATGTAAATTTGCATCAAAGTTGCACTTTTTGATGTGTAAGTTTACATCAAATTTACACTAACACTAAACTTACACATCATAAATCATAAGTATAAGTATAAATTTACATCAAACTTACATGTCAACACTGTAAATTTATATCAAACTTACACGCAAAAGTGTAAACTTATACTTGTAAATGTAAGTTTGGTGTAAGCTGACACCTCAAACATGTAAGTGTTCATCAAATTTACACTTGTGCATGTAAGTTTACATCAAAGTTACACTCCTGATATGTAAATCTAGTGTAGGTTTGATGTAAACTCACACCTCAAAACTGTAAGTTTGATAAAAACTTACACCTCATGTCCTTAAACATCACTGAAAATCAGAATGTGTTCACAGCAAATTGCTTTTTTTTCACGGAAAAAAATGTTTTTATACACAAAAGATGATTATTTTCAACTGCCCAATTTAGATGTATAGCTATGGAGGTAGCCTTGCTGGGCCTCCTCAAAGTTTGGGAAGGCACTCAGCGCCAATGACGTAGCCAAATGCAGCCACTACATACATAGAATATCATAGAATATAGGTCCCCAGTGAAAATATTCATCCATTTTTTCAGGAACACCGCCTAATTCCATTGGTTTTCATTATTTTCCATTGCAAAATAGTTTCTTTTTAATAGTCCTTCGACACCGGTCGTGGGGGGCACCCTTCGGTGAGCTTGAACAATTTTGTGAGGGATTCTATTGTGTTCTGGTGGATTTTAGTGGGGTGAAAAATTTGAAAAATATCCATTTATGACCATTTATGCTGCAGCACGGGTTATATGTTGATAATTCAAACAATTTTAGTGGGGTGAAAGTTAAAAAATGATCATTTATGTCCATTTAGGCCGCAGCACGGATGATATTTTGATAATTCAAAGGATTTTGGCGTGGTGAAAATTTGAAAACTGTTCATTTATGTCCATTTATGCTGCAGTATGAGTGATATTTTGATAATCCAAAGGATTTTAGTGAGATGACAATTTGAACAATGTCCACTTATGTCCATTTATGCTACAGTACGGGTGAAAATTTGATAATTAAAAAAAAACAAAAAAAACATCTTCCAGAATTAAAATTATTCTATGTACACTCCTGGGATATTCTATGTACACCGTTTTTTTTTCCAATTCTGGAAGATGCCCCAAAACCTGTTTTTCAAAATTCTGTATTCTATGTTCTCGTACTTTCTTTTATATATATTAGATGTCTATTAGATGTATAAAGGTGTTAAACATGTATAATATACATGTATCTAGATGCACAACGATGCATATAGATGTATATAGTAGTTATATGTAGTATTATGCAACTATAAAATGACAATAATGTCATATCATCCTTACCACAAAGTACGATTATCATTTTATAACAGGCAGGCCGCCTGCAGGTAGTAAGTTGTTTTGGTTTCTTATATTATGCCTATTGTTGTAGCAGTGACCTGAATCACTATTTGCCATTTTATAATGTTTCAAAAGCTTATTGCATGCGTGCAAGATTCATGTTTGTTTTTATTGAATATCCATTATATAAGGTACACTTACTTTGCAAATCTTTGCAATATAAACAATTTCTTTTGATAATTACAGGTTTTACCAGCACAAACTGAGAAAAACATACCCGGAGAATCCCGGAGAAATCAGGTTTGCACAGTTTTTGTTCTTATAAGATGCCCTGGAGGTGCCTTATAGAATGACAGTTTGTCACTTTCAGTATAAATTTGTGATAATTTGTGGAATTTCCACTCCCACCTTATAAAATGTAATCACCAAAAAAGTAAATTGTCTGGGCCACGATCTATAAGCTGTTTTTTTGGACTCTGGTCTGTCATATTATAAGCTGGCGTTTTTTCTTATAAAATGCTAATTGGAGTTCCCTATATTGCTGTAGCGTTGAGTATCTGCATTCTATAAAGAATTATCCCCATGGAACTCCCATTTCATAAGGAATTTCTTATAAAATGGCGCCCCCCGGGTTCAGCTTAATATTGTAAGGGGGATTGCCAGAAGATATTTCAGGTAGAATGCCAGAAGATATGCCAGATAGAATGCCTGATCGAATGCCCGAAGATATGTCAGATAGAATGCCAGAAGATTTGCCAGTAACAAAACATATAAATGTCATGGTGGGGATCACTCGAAGTAAAGTAATTTCATGCTTGAGTTTTTGACACCTTATGCAAACCCCGTATCCGGAAAGTGACAATCTAATGAATTAGATTTAATCACCATGGGATTTCCCATAATCAAATCCACCCTGGGTTGTCAGAAAACGTTGTTTTCTGCATAAAATTACCGGGGTGGATGTGGAGTACCGAAGCGCCAGGTTTTACCTAATGTTTGGAGCCTTGAAACCAAGAAATTTGTGGCGTAGATGGTGGGATTCAACACCCAAGCATCACAGATTTCCAGATTTCCCGGGACGGATACCGAAGTCTGAGGTATGCTGGGCTGCATTCCAAGTCTTTGACAAAGATTGCAACGGCACGGTCAGCTTTGAAGAATTGGAGCAAGTCTTGAACAGCGCAAGCATGGAAGGTTGGCCATCACCATGTCGGGGAAGCAATCAAAGAATGGGTTCTTTCATGGTTGATCATCATTTTATATATCAGTTTTTATCATTTTCCCCATCCTCCACTTTTGCACAGACTGATGCCATTGCAATACTCCATATCATGGCGATGGAGATCTCATGAAATCTCGATTTCGTCTCCGTTTCAAACCGGAAACCCCAGAAATCAGTCCGAAACATCCGGGTCTCCCAGACCCGAGATCTCAATAGATCTCAGGCACCTTTGCTCCAGAGCTTCGTCGTGAGCTTTGGGAAGAGTTAACCCAAAAGGCCACTGTGGAAGTCGACTTCGACCATTTCTTGGCCGCCCTCCGTGGCGTCAAGGCCTCCAATGTGGCGGCAGAGTCGCGAACACTTCCCAAGGTCGTTTGGGGTAGCCTTGGGGATTGGGGGGGCCGCAACATATGCTATAAGTCATAAGTCAAAATCCTGGGACCTTAGGTACCCTAGGTACCCTAGGTACCCTAGGTACCTTAAAATAGCCGGTCAATGAATGTTTATTCCTTATGGTAACAACAGGTTCTGACCCATCCCCATGTAGTTCCCAGTTCCAAGTCATTGCAATTCTTCACATAGGGAGAATGGCATTGTAGTTTTAACCGGCAAAAATGTCAATGATTCATTGTCACATTTAGGATATATCAATGGTGTTTAAATTCCCATCCTGTAGGTCGATTCCGGGTTCAGATCATGCTAATCCTTTTCTCAATCAGATGAACTACCCCAGACATCCCCAGACTAGAAACCAGAGTGGGATGTCTTGGATTTCTTCGTTTTGTTTCGTCTTGAATTCCCCTAAAATGGTCCCTCTCAAATCCAAATGTCAAATCCAACATTAACATCCTCCTTATCTTGAACAGCCCATGGTGTAGCATTGGATTTCAAAGAAGGTGGAAGCTCCAGTGGCTGGAGCTTTACCTATCTCGCGGCGGCAGCATGGAGCTGCTTTGGCCATGGGCCTTCCAATTAAACCTCGAAGGTGATCCTGCCATGAGGGGTTTGCAAGATGTTGGGCGAGTTGACTATAGTTTCCTCTCAAAATTGGCGATGTGTTTTTCCATCTATGTTAGTTTGGGAAATGGTGAACCATGGAATTCGAGGCTATGCCAGTGCGTTTTGGGCAGACTTAAACGAACATGGATCTGAGTCAACATAGTCTTCTATTTCAGCAGATGAACTTCAGACTGTACCAAGAGCTACCAGTGTGAACAGACTGATATCCAAAATGGCCGTCAAGTTTCACCATGTTTCACTCCACGGCTGATCCTCACCAGGGATGCCGGTGGCTTCGCTAGTTGATTGATTCAGGGTGGAAAGAGCTCGCAGGAAAAGGAGTGCGACAAGTTGGCCCATGTCCATGGCACATGGTGGCACATCTCAGCTTAGCAACTCCGCCCTGCGGTTTACCAACTTGGTAGGTTGCAGCCATCACGGGCAACAAAAGCAGGACTGGAACTTTGTGATTTGTGTGAAAGCAGCAACCATTAGCATCTCCGGCTGCCATGCAATTGTGAATGTATTGTGAATATATGTGTCATTATTAGTCATTATGTGTCCAAAAATTCTTGAAGTCGTCACAGCCCCACTCTTGTGTGACGGATTTTTTTCTAGTTGTCCTGTAGACCCAGGCCTTTGCCAGACCTCCAGCCCTACATCCCGCCACTGGTGGACCACCCTCCTGGCTATTGGACCACGAAAGCGACCACTACGACCACTGAAACATTCACTGGCCGGTGGCCAAGTTCTGTCAGTGACCAGTTCAGGTAGCCAAGTGGCTAAGTTGAGGTGGGTAAAACAATGTCATAAATCACCCATGACTGGGAACGGTTTATACCACCTATTTATGGTGATTTGGGGGATGGTTTATCATTGTTTTACCCCCCATTATTCAGTTTATCTATAAGTTTAGTTATATGACGTACAAATCTACATGTAACAATTTGTGTGTGTGCCTCTCAATCTAGCCAGTTGCCGATCTACCTACCGAATCCAGTCTAATCAAATTTTGTGCCCTCATCTCCGTCATCTCCTATTGGGTCCTTTTGAGATTTATATGATCGTATGTGCTCTTCACTTCTCTTCTCATTTTAACTCATCTGATCTGATATTATTCTTTTGGATTCTTCATGAAAATTCAGAAGCGATTCCTTAGTCATCACATGTCATCACATCGCGTCAGCCGTGCTGTAGGCTACTATCGCCCATTGAACACACTCTCGCAGAATCCTGCCGGAATTCTGCCTCCGGGAGCTTTTGCTGCTGCCTCAGATGACCTATACTATACCATCTATACCATCTATGGGGATTGATATGTTCATATATTTTCCGTTCGTTCCCCCACATGGATCATTAACGACATGTTCAAAAATTGGACGTGCTGATGTTTAACCTCGCCTCACCTTCTCGTTGGTGCCTTTCTTGGGGCTCCTTTTGTTCCACTTTCTTCCCCCACTTTCACGCCACACCAGGTAATCATTTGGTTCTGGTGATGTGGTTTCTGTGGTGCCTTGCCTTGGACATCCTTGGACTGAGTCCCCACCACCAGCGCCGAAGTTCAAGAACTTCTACTCCTCTGTGCAAGATTTGTCCCAAGACCAGGCAAGCTCATGGGCCAAGAATGTATCGAAGTTGATACTATTGGATGATATTGGATGCTGAGAAATGGGCAGCCAGTTTCAACATAAACTCCACCGATGTGGAGAAAATCAATCCGATTTTGATCGAGGATGGCGTCTCCCAAGTCGGAATGTGTGTCGCAGTGTGGTTTGCCTGAAATTGTCAAACCACTTCAAAGGGATCCAGCATACCCTCCATAGCCATTTTCAAGACATGTGGCCGGCAATTGAGCGTGCAGAACGCCAAGTAGGACCAAAAAAATGGAAATCTGATGGAATCAGTATGTATTTCCATTGTGATGTTCTGATACGATCTTGATCATGTGCTTGATTTTAGCCTCTGGAAACAGGAAACAGGGGTCTCCCAGCTGGGATTCTCGTGATTCGTTGCAGGCCTCAAAACCGTTTCCACCGGCATGTTTTCCTGGCAGTGGCTATAGGCCATGCAAGGGAACCTTAGGCGCACATGAGGACATGTTCACATATACATACATACATACATACATACATACATACATACAAACATACATACATACATACATATTTTTGTATAAATATATACATATACATTTACATATACATATAAATATATGTACATTTACATATATATACATATACATATACATATATATACATATATATATATATGTATATTTGCATATATATACTTCTATGTACATACATATATATATATATACATATTTGCATATATATATATATATACGTATGTATATACATCTACATATACATATTTACCTACATATATACATATACATATACATATATACATAAATATTTTTACATATATGTACACATATATACATATACATACACATATATACATATATGTATATATGTATATGTATTATATATATTGTTTACATGTTTATAGTTATTTACATTTACATTTACATCTATATATATATACATATATTTACATATATATATATACATATATTTTCACATATATGCATATATATATATATGTACATATACATATATAAATACATATTTACATATGTATACACATATATACATATATACATATACATATACATATTCATACATATATATATATATACATATATGCATATATACACATATATACACATATTTACATATACATATACATATATTTACATAAATATATACATATATTTATTTACATTTACATATGCATATACAAATATATTTACGAATATACATATATATATATATACATATTTACATACATATATTTATATATACATATATGTATACATTTACATAGATATATATATATACACACAGGTAAATACATATACGTTTACGTATATACATACACATATTTACATATGCATATATATATATACACACATATGTGTATACATATATATATTGATATTATATATATATTAATATTAGTATATATATAATTCTACACACATATTACATATACATATACATTTACATTTACATTTACATTTACATTTACATACATACATACATACATACAGATATATATATATCTATTCTCAAAATGATATATTATCATGAAAGATCCTCTGTGTTTTGATGCCAGGGACAACTTTTTCGACCTCAAGAGCTGGTTGCCTCCCAGCCGACGCCTGTTACGACCTGAGTGCCACAAACCTGTCACGCCGAGCGCATCGCAGCCATGGTGTTAGGCAAAGTGCCCTGCTGGGTCAGGCTGGTGAAAAAGACGATTTCTTTTGCGCACAGTGTTGGTATATCTATAATATATCTCACAAATCTATAATATCAGCGCTTCTTTTATCATTATTTAGCATTATTTGTCATAATATGTTATGTTATGTTTAGTACTTATGCTATAGTATCCATATTAATGCGTGTGTGATGGGGCCATGGGACCACAAAAGATCCCAAAAAACATCGAGTGGCACTCGTGGCTGGGCAGGTTGCAAGTGGCTTGGGCAACATGGCCATTGAAATGGGGACTTTGAAGGCGGGAAATGGATTCATATTACCCTCTGGTTATTTAACATAGCCATGGAAAATAGCCCATTTATAGATGGTTTACCCATTAAAAATGGTGGATCTTTCCATGGCTATGTGAACGTTTACCAGAGGGTATATATAATTTATTTATATATATATATATATATTAGGTTGATTCCAGCCATGGATAGACAAATGGACGAATCATTTCTTCGGCATTCGGCGAAGTTTGGCCTTGGACCCGAAGGGAATTCCCCACGATTTTCAGCCAGGATCAAGCTGCAGGCGTCACGCAGGCGGCATGGCTGGTGGCTTCAAATGATTCGAATCATCATTTCCATCATGGTCATTCATGGTCAATGATCCCACTTCTGGAGAATTGTTTGCACTTCATGATAATTCATGATCCCCCTTCCAGACTTGTGGTTTCCCTGATTTTTCCCCTGCAAAACGGCATAGCCTTGTTGTTTTTGTTTCCCCCAGATGCCCCCCTGCCAGGTCAAAGGTGGCATCAACCAACTGGCGAAAAAACTCGACACTTTGAAGGTGAACTCCCCGGATCCAGCGAGATTTCTATCGGTTTATCCATTTTTTTGTTGATATTGATTAGCTGGCTGTACTATATCTATAATATATATATATCTCTCTCCCTCTCTCTATGATCATCTTATATCATCTTAATCACATATATTATATTATAGTAACATCTGATTTTTTTCTGAAGTAGTGGCAAAGCGAACCTCACTGCCTCGCTCGTGCGAACCGTCGCTTTTGATGCGTTGCATCAGGATGCCGCAACTGGTGTGACGGATGCGGGAAGCCGAGATGTCCACGAGAGCACTGAATCATGGGATATGCCGAATATGTGGAATAATGTGGTAAGTTTACCAGCCCTAGACCATCCCTATCACCAATTCATATCAGTCATATCACTATCTAAAAATGGGATTGATGTCATCCCAAAATGATAGGTTTATGATGGTGGCATTGGGTGTACCGCAGTGCCATGGAAACTGTTGGGAAGATATCCCCGATGACGAGTCAACAGAGGTCAATGTTAGCGACAGCATGAAGGATTTGGTGAAGCAAATGAAGAACTTGCAGGCACGATATTCAAGGAATCACCACAAAGGTAGAAAAAGGATGAAAAAGAATTCCCCTCATTAGTTGCTTTCAGTATTTTCTTGGAGCTACTCCAGTTGAAAGGCCCCTTGACACTCCTTCCTAGAATATCCTAAAATGTCTCCAAAAATGGAAACATGTTGTAAAGCCATTCCATTTGTGATGGATTGTGTCATTAAATGCTTTACAATTGCCACACATCATTTGACCAGAAAAGATCGGAAGTCATTTGCTTCTTGCAACGACAGGACCGAGCGGAGAATGCAAAGGCGAGAAGCCCAGCCAAGTGCACCAACATACATGGGGATTAGACCAAGAAAAATGGTGATATGATGAAGATAATCTAGATAGATATAGGTATATAGATTGTATATCTATATATATATAATGATTATGTGTATATATATATATGATATGGACATACATAAAATGAGGTTAGTCTGGCTAAAAAAAACAACGACCTCACAGCGCGTCACTGGAATGATGAGAATTGGATTGGGTGCAACTTTTTTCTATCTCATAAAACGGCCGAACTTTTCTGGTGAATTATGTTCGGAGATTGACCTCCCAATGGTTGACGTTCAAATTGGATGCAGATCACCCCTGTAAGACTTTAGTCATTTGTAATCTGACCC